TTGGCTACAGAAATGTCCTGCTTTGGGTGCATCTCACAGCTCTGAGGCAGTTGTTTTCAGCAATAATGTCCTGAGGGGGACATGAGTGTCTGTAGAATATATTTCATGACAATCCATCCAAAAGTTAAGGAAATATTTTACTCAAAACCACAACTGTCAACCTCACGGTGGAGCTAGATCAAAAAGTCAGGGGATCGCCAAAGACATTAAGATCCATCCTCTGAGTATCATGAATGTCTGCACCAAACATCACAGGAATCCAACAGTTGTTGAGTTTCAGTCTGGATCAAAGAGTTGGACTGACCGACTGACCGACTGACCTACAGACAGACATTTACCATCCGTAGAGATGCATGGCTAACAACATCAAACATTAAATCTGGGGTTTGCTTGCTTTTCGCGGTTGCATATCACCGTAAATAGAACGATGTCAACAACTCCTTGGATGCACAAACCTCTGCCAACACTGTGCACAGCCTGCCTGTCCAAATCAAATTGAAAAGGTTTACTCAGATTGGGCCCTTGCTGTGCTGACGTCACAACAGCTCAAATATGGAAAAGTCTTCATATTGTTGCTGCTACAGCCAAAGCCGTTTTAACACGGGAGAGAGAAATTTCCACTTGTCCACACCACATTCCAGCCCTCACACTGAAAAACACACGTCTTCTCTCCAAGCTGAACCCTATATCCCCTGCTGCAAAAACTCACGCGCTCTCGTGCACAGATCTTTTCAGGATACTTTGCCTGTGAAACCCAGGGAGGCAGGTGACATGTCGAGCTGCACTATCCAGACCAAATGTGAAGCAGCGTTAGGTATCCCAGGAATCTAAATATGTCTCTCTTGAAATATTTGACACAGAGGCTCCGAAACGTGACGCACCACAAAAGAAATTGGGGGAGAAGAGGGAGGACCGGTAGCCGAGGCCAACTCTCCGACTCCACACAGCACTGCATGGTGTCAAGGAGGAAGAAAACTGTCAAGGCGCGACAAGAAGGATTCACTTGACCTCGATTAAATCCAGCCTGCTTACTTTCACATGGGCACACCGATGAAAGCAGCTGGAAAGGCGACATCTGTATGACCAACTACAACCTCCCTGTACTGCGAAACTGTGTTTTGATGAATATACGGCCATTTTTCATTCAGTACTACTGCATCTTAGATGCTCCTTTAAAATCCAAACGTGTGTAAGCATTCAGAGTGGTTAACACAGGACAAATTGAGAACAAGGTTTTTGAATAACTATGTTTTATTTCTTGCAAAACAGAGGAGAAAAGAATATGGCTCTGGTGCCAATGTGATGTTGACAGAAATAAGAAGCTGTTGCACCACAGCATGCTGACTCTGACGTACAGCTGTTATCTATAATTTGTTACTTTTAGGCTTGTGCTACAGCTTAACATGGGGTTGCAAATACATTTTGGTGAAAGGGGATAAAGTGACTAATAATTTCAATCTGTTTATACAAAGAGAGAAATGTCCACCACAGGTATTTCACTGAGAAGTTAAAGCTCTTTTCTTTTCTTTTTTTTTTTAAATCACAGCAGAACTACTCAGCCGATTAACTAATGTGTACTTTTCTTGTTTAGCATCTTATTCCCACTACACCACGTGAGAAGGAGAAATGAGGAGCAGTGAATTGCAGTTCTGGGCCGTACACTGACGTAGACTGCGAGGCTCCACGTCTCACCACAGCTGATCTGATACAGCGCAGAAAGGATCCACTCATGCCAACCAGACACTGGAGTACAGATCTTAGGAGAACATATATATGCTATGTAATGAGCCATGCCTCAGTCGTTAAAGCGTAGTATGGGAACGTTTTACAGCGATGCAGTGGAGGGTAAACCCAGCTCACCTCGTCTTAGCCACCTATTTATTTGCGGAGCAGAGTTTATACTCATCTTAATGACATGTGTTCATGGTGGATATGAGTAGCTGGTGTCAAATAGATGTAAGATGAAGATAGAACCTTTTGAGGGAATAAAGGCCTGAATGAATCAGTTATACTTGTCATGTGCTGTACTCAAGTACCATCTTATGATACAGTATTTGTACTCTATTTGATTATTTTGATTTTAGAGGACTTTTTATTTCAATCCACTACACTAAGGAGGTACAGTTGGCACTTTTTACCTCTACTGGTCTGAAGTTAATTTGCAAGTAAAGGTTTTATATAGGCTATGAAACATAAGATCATTTAATATGATCCATTGTTACAGATTTAAGTACCTATTAAGATGTTATTCTAAGCAACACCAACCAAAACTCTCTCAACAATTGAATACTTCAGACTGAAATAGGTCAATGTGCATTGTGAGTACTTTCACTTTTGATACTTGTGTTTTTCTGCTAATAATGCTTTATTTCTTTACTGAAGTAAGAATTTGATTGCAGGACTTTTCACTGTAATGGAGCGTAAATGTGCACGTTTACTTAATCAAGTGATTTTAATGCTTTTTCCACCACTGCCTTGTAATAACATTGGGCAATACACACTAGGCCCATTTTAAGCATTTTATGGAGTTCCATGGAAGTAATTTGGGCCTTTTATTGCCTAAATTGCCGATTCAAAGCAGTTATTCTCCCTGAATAATGTCTGAAATACTAGTTGTAGTGATAGTGTTACAGTCTAATTATCTATATAACATTTACAGATACATTAATAAATTTTAAAAAACTCCATTTATGAGCAACAGGCCTCCCTCACCCCTCCAAAAGGGAGAAACTATAAACCCAGAGGTCAGAGCAGCGCTATTAGTTAATCGCAGCGGCCTAATTATATCCCCTCATAAATAAACAGCATTGTTCCACTCACCGACCCTGAAGCCCTGTCCGATGAGCGTGTCGGCCGCCTGCCCGTTCTCTGCGATCAGCGTGGTGTTGTTGCCCTGCTCGCAGGTATCCTGACACTGTCCCTTCAGGCAGATCCGCTTGCAGATGAGAGGAGCGATGACTACCTTGAAGCGCTCCCGTGTGGAGGAGCGCTCCGTGCACCACACCAGCCTGTGGACGCTCAGCCAGATGACAAGCAGATGGGAGATCAGAATGGGCATCCTGGCATCCTTCGCTGCCCTCCACAGAGGCCCGGGGACATTAAATCACAAGCTGAGGGGTTCAGCTCCAGCTCAAACGCGCGTGCTTTGTTAACCTGAGGAAGATTTTTTGACGTCTCGTGCGTTGGAGGAAGAAAAAAAAAGAAAAAGAAAAGCGCGTCCTCCCTCCTGTTTTCTCCTTAAGGAAAACAAAATTAAATTACTTCCCTTGCGTAACCAAGTGATCCGTGAGGAAAACAGACACGTTTGACATCTTTAAGAAGTTTATTGTTGCCCTCGTTGCTGTTTTCCAAAAGTTTCCCGTCGCTTTTGTCGCTCTTCCTCCTTCTCGCCTGTTGCTTTGGAGAGTAGGAGAGAGAGAAAGAAGGGAGGAGAGGAGAAGGGGTGAGCCAACCCTCTCTGGAGAAAACCTGGCTGCGGGCCAGCCAGGCGGTGCAGGAGCAAAGCTGAAAGTGGTTTCCTTGTTGGTTATTTCTCTCCACCACCCCCCACCCCCTCCCCCCCACTCTGCAAATCATAGCTGCACAGCTGTGTGTGTCACTCTGAGAATAAAAACATACTGACATGTAATGATGTATTGCTGTATACACCTGTGTTTGATTCGTTTCTTATGTGTAAAAGTACGAAAATGAGCATGTGACTTAGCGATGGACATCAGCCAGCTCTATGACTCAATTCTGCATTATATTTTTGAATTTCTTAGAAAATATATCATCATCTTTCTTTTTGTTTAGCCTTGTGTTGATACTTCGCATCAAGTAACTATATTACTTTTTTAAGTCTTGCAAGTCGGTCAAAGCGTGGAGACATTTTCTGCTATGGGTCATCAGGGTCATAATGAGGTCATATGACTCCACCTGAAAGGATGCAGCCAGGTGGACATCTGCTTTGTCTCATGATAGTTCAACATTTAGCTTATTCCCCTCGAAACAAAAGTATGTGACATCTGCACAACAGCTTTACAGATGTGTGTTACATGTGGAGTTGAGTTCACAGGTCAGTTTATCTGCTACCACATCAGTATATCTATCGCAAATGGCAAACAACAAAAATGATTGCCCTTTTCAACATGTCCGTATTTTTCCTGATGATAGATAAAATGCTCAAACGCTTTATTTAAGAAAAGGAGACGATAAAAAAAAAAAACACCAAACTTAAACCAAAACATCTGCATAAAATGTTCATCTAAATAAAAGTTGTAAGCAGTGAAACGTACGTACAAATCAAAATGTAAAGCCTCAGTTTTGAAAAATGGTGAAAAAAACTTTGCAAAACTGCTTAAACTTTTTATTTAGAGGTTAATATACACACACAGTTAGTTGGTTCAAACTCTATCGTGAGCTTCCTGTGTGTAGTTAGTAACTACAATCGTCAGATCAATGCTATGGAAAATGTGGATAATGAGTAGAAAATGAAATAAAGTTTAAAAACAACAACAATGCACCGAGCAGAAGCCCTTTTAAACACCTTATGTCATCTAGTCATATGTTAAACTGTGACGCTTACATCTGGCATGCCAATCAACCACACGTAACTGTTAAATATGAAGCTACACAGCTTTAAAGGATCCCAGGGGGCGGCACATGGGAAAGCTGTGAAAGTGAGAAAGAGACAGAGAGAAGGGGGGGGGGGGGGGGGGGGAGGGAGGTCGCACGTTAAAACGTGAGGCTTACAGACATAAGGTGTTTAAAAG